GAGGCCCCGATGGAACCAGACTATAACTCAACTCGATCTGCGACTTCGGCGCTATCATCTCGGGTTGCAAAGAAGTTCCAACTTTTACGGGACTACGGGTGGCTCACTGTGAGACTAGCGTTCCTCAGAGAGCAAACTGTGCGCACGGCAATTATGACGCGGACTGATGAATATCCTTGTACGCTGCGAGAGCGAGGGCGCAAGAGAGACTATTGCCGGCGCCCCACGAGAGGGTATATGCGTTGTCTTGGCTGGGGTACTCAACGCGACTCGACGCGTGCTGCCAAAATGGCCAGGCATGGCATTCGGCGTGGAGATCGAGAAGGTGAAGTGAGGAGAACGGAAAGACCTCAAGCTGTGGGCTGCTCGTAGTACGGCCCCCGGAAGGTCTTCCAAGGATGGGTTGAGACCTGTTAAGGCTAGGCGCTAGAGACCGACGCGGAAGATGTGAACGCGCACACGTGACATCATCACATCGTTGACAGCGACAAATGTAGGGAGATGTCGTAGAAGCACCGACGCCGACAGCAGCCGAATTCGTAGAGAGACAGAATTTTCTGCGAGCCTGCGTGGAAAGGTAAGAAGTCTACAAGTGCAAAGGCGCTCGAGTCTACAAGAAGACATGCCCTGCAACTGCCGGCGCACTTGATGACTGCTACATGTCATCCTTGCGAACACTACTGTATTGACGCAACTTATCGCGCGCAGCGAATGCAAAAAAAACAGTCGGTCGACAAACCTCTTGTCGCTGAAGCGAAATTGTGGCTCCCAGCTACTCAGCGCTTCACGCCGTGGTCGCAGTCATGGCGAGCAATATGATATAAAGCTGGTTTATCGTGCTACAACCTTACAGGTGGGAAACCGATACATCAGGGATCGAGCTCGAGCTATCCAGGTGAATAGGAATGTAGATCGTGGGATGTGGTGCATCGAATCTGATCCAAGTTAGCACCGTCTGCGGGCAATCGCTGCACGGACTCACTCACTAGAATAGGTATCGGGATGAGAAAGAGAAAATACCGCACAGCTGTGAAGACTGTGAGCACGGAAAACAACATCGAAACGCCGGAGATGAGAGACTGGTCTAACCTGGGAAGTGAAGTTGAAGGGGAGACGACTGTCAATGGTGCCGCGGGCGCGCGCCTCGATTGCGACGGTACGCCGTAGACTGTCTACGGATACTATCATCATGATCTCAGTGGTATGAATATCGAGGATCGCTGATAGGGCGGCTGTCAGGCGGGGTAGTATTTTGAGTGAAGATGACACAGAAAGACGGGGACATCTTGTACGCTGGCCGCTTCTTCTGGCTAGTTTCGCTTGAAGAGACTACATAACGTTTTGAAGAGGTAGGGATATACCGACGTTAGGATGATGGTGGGGTACAACTGTGACGCGCGGCCTGTGAACGCTGCGCGTGCTGTTCATGACGTCGCCGGCGTTTCGAAGGTTGATCCGTGCTTGCCGCGTTAGGACTCGCGCTCAACGATGCCGCCTGAGAGACGCCTCTGGACGATCCAGCCTCACCTACGGCGTGGCGAGCAGTTTCCGCTACGAGCTCACGGAGGTTCACAGGGGGTCGGCGAAGCTGACACAGAAAACGGCGCGCGAGGGTGGCTGGAAGCGAGTTGACAAAACGGCGCGCGTTCGCTCTCTCGCTTCACGGGAACTGCCGAGCGCCTCCGCTCGGCTCTTGCTCCGGTCTCGCAGACTCGCCCGAACCGGCAGGCAAGGCCGAACGGTCTGAGCGCGGGGAAAATAGTACTCGTCCTTCCACCAGCCTCCATCACGACTACTATCACTACTACTACGACGACAATGACCTACTACTGCGGTCATTGCTGGCTTGCCCAACGCCCTCTCTTCGACTGCAGGGATGTTGTTTAGGCTACCGATGCATCACGCTCAGTAGTTGTAAACCGTCGTCCCGAACTGCGCGGTTTTGCACCCCTTGCAACCGGATGCTGCGATAAGGTCCGAACGATGCACCTTCCTGGATTGACTATCGTACGTCGCGTCCATCGATTTCAGCTCCCGTGGACCGCAAATAGCCGAGCGCTGATGAAGCCCTCCTTTCTCTTTGTTCACTCGGCATTTCGCGAGCAGTGCATCCGAGGGCATCCCTCCTTTGTTCACGTAGCTAGCGGGGTATAAACGTGTGATATACCTCGACGTGGCCCCCTCCCCCCTTCGCCCTCGATCATCTCCTCTTCGCCATGAAGATCGTCTCACTACGGCGCCACAACCGTATACGCTCGCCCTATGAACGAAACCCGTACCGCCCCATCTCTCGAATGGAGATCGATGTGAGTAACCATCCCTTGTTACGTTGCGAAGCCGTATCGTAACTTTCATCAGGCTATCCCTCCTTGGAGACTCAAATTTTTGGATTGCGATATAGATGGCAAGGGGCTTCGATGCGAAGTAGAACGAAGGGTCGTTGATTCACAGGCGCGTCACAAGTCACTGACATGGGAGCACCATTTGACCTAATCTGGATCATAGCTGTGGGACCTTCGTCGAGGGTTCACCTTTGCGCGCGATGATGCTCTTCGTTCCGGGCAATCTCCTAATGCCGCTGCTGCTCTGGTTCGTGAACAGCACCACACGACGACGTCCCTGATCAGCGACAAATCTCAGACTGATGTGCAGGAGGACACCACGCCCACTGCAGTCATACACGGCCAAATCGACACAGACGCAGCCACCGCAAATGGCATAGACCACCGAGCTATCTCCCCTGTCGAGATTACGCCTGTCAACGTCAATCACTCTCCCGTTCTTCAGCAAGCCAGTACCGCATGTGATGTTTCCGTCGACTCTCAGACTCTTTCAGAGGGTCGTGCCTCTTACGATGCTGAAGGATCGAGGTCTCGGGAGCCCACCGTTCATGCCGTTGCTCATCCCGACGAGCAGTCTAAGGGCGGGGTCGATGCCCAGGCCCGCGGTGAAAAAGTGCTCCAGATTCTCGCGCGTAGTGAGGCGCCCTCTCCCGTCAGAGTTCTCGCATCAATCATCCGGTACGATCGCCCTCTGTTTCAAACAGGACGTGATGCTAATAGTAAAGACATATAGAAAGACTCCCAACTCAACGTCTACTTCAAATGATAGCGCTTCCGTCGGAGATACTGGGCCACAGAGTTGTTCTGGTTCTCCTATCGCGCTTTCACTCGCACCTCCGGCCGAGGCACCAGCTCCTTCACGGTATGGATTCATCTAAGCTTCGACAAATGAGTGAGGTCTCACTACGCCTAGTGGCATATCTGACTCTCGATCTCTCGACGATGTTCCATCCAGTCTCGAGGGCAGGAACGTAGCAGCTACGCCGAGCTGGAATCTCGACCGAAGGTTGTTCTCACTCGTGCTCATACGTAATAACGTTAACGAGAACGCAGTGCAAGTTTGCGCGATCTGTGTGCATCTGGAGGCAAGAACGAGCTTGTGGATGGCGGCCAACAGGTCGCTCAGGATCAGGGCGGGATAATATCGTCCAAACACAAACTTCGGAAACATGGGGTTGAGATGACATGCTTCAGGTCGATTGGTGCATCTATGCTCTCCACCCCATCCCTAGACGGCCGTGCGATGCCCGGTGACGTCTATCTTCATATGGGCGCTGGGACGGCGCAGTTGTGGTACAAGAACTTGGATGGAGCTTGGGTTACGGCGCAGGCGGGTATGGATCATCCAGCGTATCCCGACTATTGCCTCAACTTGTCATCGGACCTCTGGGGACGCTGGGTACTGAAGAAGACGGTCAGCACGTACAAGGGAAGAGAGAAGGCGAGTTCCTTGTTACCTCTTGGGCTGCGAATGTTTCGCTTATAACTAGTACCAGGCACGCTCTAACAACACGATCGGTCAGTACTAGCGAAGTCGCTTTACTTGCGAACACTGTGATCTCGACCATGGGTTCTGTAGACGTATATAGAGCTTTATGTCGAGCGTCATGTAGTCTGTGATCTATACGTTCCTGATTCACTTGTGCGAAGATTTTGTGATGGGCATGAGTGCTAAGTGCTGAGCGGCTACTATCCCAAGTTTGCGACGTAATTGATGGAGTATTCTAGTATGGTGCACCAGCCGTTTTTGCCCATCATCCCTGTCTCATGGGATGTGGACCTTACATGCAGCGCCTCACGTGTGGATGAAGTTCACTGCATCGGGAGGAGCATTGGCGTGACGGGTGACCAGGGCAGGCGAGCCACAGCGATTGGTGTTCACCTCACAGAGTTGCACGGCTTTGCGCTGGAGGTAGCCTGATACAGTTCTCAATGATGGGATGCTGTCATAGGCACGAAGTAGCCGGCGTCAAAGGCGAATACGAGCGCCTCCGATGGGCCATACACATTGTCAATGTCCACCCATAGCAGGCGTGAGAGGCGTCGATCCGGTGCTGGTAGATATACGAGAACGAAGTATGTGCTTATCGCAGACCGAACCACAGTTGGTTTCGGCTACCCACGGTCGCTCGCGTGGCCTGACGTATTGCCGCGCGCGTCTGTCTCTCTTCTCGATCCGTCATGTTTCTTTGCTATCATTATCTCTATACATACCTCTCAAGCCACGTTGTCTCTTTCATCGTCATGCGAGTAGCTCGAGTGCAACCTGATTCTCCCTCCAGCTCTTCGTTAATGCTGTATCTGCGCATGTGGACAGTATAGCCTTGATTCTTGAGGCAGAATGTCATGAGTGTACGACGCCGCGCGCGTAGCGCGCGCGCTTTCGTGCCCGGTGTCAGCCGATCCACTCGATCAAGCATGCAATTCAGACGGCCTCGCCGCTTCGTGTCAGTCACACCGGCGGCACGTCAAGCGCTCAACGAGACTCTCGCGCGCCAGACTGTGACCCGCAAGGCACGAAAACGAAGGCATCTTATACCGTATGGCAATTTGACGGGCGTGCTTAGCTGCGATCCCAGTTGTCTGCTTCGCCAGGCAGGCCAGCCACAGTCCCGGGTAAAGAAACACGGTCTTTATAAGCGCCTCCTCGTCCCTCTGGGCGCTTTCGATTCAACGTGGCTGAATCTCGATTCGGCGGCCGTAACAGGTCCTCTACTTACCCGTTTTCTCCCTCGGTTCGGACCGCCATCTTCCGCGAGACCCGCTTCTTCGCGTATGTCTCTCACGATATCAGGTCTCGCAACGAAACCTGACGAGCCTCCTGTGTCTACAGGAACGAATCACACCATGTTTCCGAACCTCGCTGGAGCAGGGCTCGGAGAGGGCAGACTCGGGCGTATCTTGATTAGGGTTAGGGTTGGCGTAGCACCGCCGCGACACACGATCACATCACGATGGCTCGCCACATGAACGAGGATACGCTTGTCCGAGGCGCTCAGCTCCACATTTGGCGGGTAAGCCGTTGTTCTCTATATTTCCGAATTCACACTCTCACGTCGATCCGCTTAACAGCAAGTTCGCGAGCTCCCCGCATCTCGCATGCAGACCTGCATTCAGTCGTCGCTGAAAGAAACGCGCCACCGTCATTGGGATAGACGTCAGGTAGCGCCGCTTCTCTTCTCACACCCGTTGCGTCTGACAGAACTATACCAGTTCGACCATCAAACACTGCGTGTGCATGGAGAGTGCTTCGGGAGCGCTCTCATCGTTCCACGAGCGCCACTGTCGCCTAACGCCTAACGCGCTTTCCGCCGCCATCTTCTCCGTCTGCGATTGTGGTGGGCGGTCAATAGTCACATCTCCTTTTGAGGTAAGCAGAATACATTCGCCCACCCCTTCTCCCGTGAATGCCTGGAACTTATTGCTGATTTGGCTTCATTTGGTTCTACGTGCGTCTTCCCTGCTCGCAGTCCACTGGTCCGTATTGACTACTCCACAGATTACGGGCGAGGCCGCAGCGGTCCTCGCAGTCAAGGAGCAGCGCGGCCCTGTTTAGCTCGTCATGAGCCACGACGTCTGGGGCCAATAAGATGGTTTGCTGGTACGTACAGCTAATACACGCACAGCATCTCTCAATTGGCAGCCGAACAGTGCCCTTAACTACGCCGCCGTCGCTGAGGATTATGTGGCTGTGGACCTTGCATACTCGCGGTGTATTCGTTGCCCCTGTATCGAGTGGCAAGCACTTTGTAGTAAGGCTTCCTTGTCGTATATTGAACGATCCTTACAGATGCTAGACAGGGCTTTCGTATCTCGAGCGACATGTCATTTCTGTTACATGCCACTGAGTTACTTGTAGCCCGGCTGAGCACCTCGCGGCACAACAAGCATGGCGACAGTACTTGTATGTTACTCTCCTTCACGACCCGCTCGAAGCTTCACCCAGGGCACTGAGCTTTAGATGTTCCCGATTTTCGCCCGCTTGTCCAACGCCTCGTCCATTCTGTCTGGCCGGTCATCTTGCAGTACTTGTGCGACACGGCCGCTATGTATGTCTTTCTCTTTACACTGCTTGTCTCCCGATCTGATTGCATACAGATCTTCCACCGGCTCTGCAGCCCTTCAAACCAGTATTGATGGCTGGAGCGGTACACGTAGCGTGATACCTCGGGTGCTCGCATCCGTGTCCACACTGAATCGCTCATCTCTTGCCAAAGGCCGGTTCTGCAGGTTACAGGCCGCCGCTGCCTTTCCGTGGTGGTCCGCCACCGCCTATGATTCTCGACGACGCGCGCCAGGGAATACAAGTTCACCCAAACCTTGCTCCCAGAGGTGCCCGTGGTATGTCAATCCCGCTACATCCTGACGAATATTCGGGTGGGTCGCCACCATTGCATCAGCACGATCTATACCACGCGGTCGCAGATCTTCCGCCGCAGCTCGCCACTGGATCGTGCGCGTTCGCCCATGGCATCGCCGTACCAGTCTTGCGGCCGCGGTAGTCCCTCAGTTTCGCCTCCGTATGATGACTTGGGCAATCTAGCAGCGCGAATGCGCTCCTGGCCGTGAGCGCGTCACAAACTGGCGGCGCCGGGGCTGGTAACACGGTGTGGACACGAGTACGCGTCGTCACAGCCGCCATACTACGATTCTCGGCGCGAATGTTCACCGCAGAGCGCTTCTGCGCGGGGTTACCCGCCTCCTGGCTCTCAGATAGGACCTATTTCTCCGCGCGAGCATCCAAATATGCGCGCCGAGCCGATGCAGGCCGACACGCCAGCAGGCGCTACGAAAACGGCCATCCACCACCTGAAGGGTATGTCAATCTTGACGGTCTGCCTCCGCTACCCACGTACCCGAGCCGCACGTCGGAGAGCCCGCAACCAGCGTATCGTTCTCGCCAAGAGTCTTCGCCGGCGGAGATGCAGCCTTTGTGTCAACCCGTTGGTCCTGGTGGCACAATGGTTATGTTGGCGCCCAAACCGAAGAAACGCGGGCGCGCTACAACAAGCCCCAAGTAACAGCAGGAACGAGCCTACACCCGCATCTACGCCCGGTCCTACACGGCGTTCTCACTCTGAGAAGATCGACTCACACCAGCAACAGCCATCTAGCTTGTAACGCCCGTACAGAAGCCGTAAGATGCGCGAGGCCGATAGCAGCGGTCCCAGCAACAGCCAGAAGGCGAGCCTGCCCGAGTTCTATCGTCAGCGTGCCGGATCGTGTCGTGGACGAGGACTACGACGAGAACGTCGCTGAGACGCTCATCGGCTTGTCCGGCTTTCGCGGTGGCGCTGCTCCGCCTGCGCAGGCACCGAACGACTCGGATGCGCTGCCGGGTTACGGCCAGGCACCACCTTCACCGATGAGCGGCCCTGGTGTACGCGCTACCAGCCCGACACCTAGTATGCGCTCGCGCGCTTCTTATCACGGTGGCCTCACCAGCACTCGCCTCCGTTGCTCGGCCCGCCGCTCATTGGCTCCAAGCGCGCACACTCTCGATCGTGATCGTGGCGACTTTGCCCTGTCGAAGAGGACCCAATGAATACCAACAACGGCAGCGACAAGCACGGTATACTTCCGTCCTCGTCGTAGTCGGGTCTCGGGAGAAGGAGTTCACGAGGGCAGCAGCAGAGTAGCAGAAGACTGTATCTGCCGAGCCCGCCCGCTCTAGCTTCAGCCGGATGCGCGCTACTGCTAGTTGTCACGCTTGAAGACCGTGAAGAGAGGGGCCCTGAGTTTGGGCACCGGGGAGAACACGGACACGAGATGATGTCGGTCTTCCCGAGGGACTCGTGTAAGGTTTAGGACTATCGTGTACAGGGCATTCAGTGTCATTCCTTGCAAATGTAAGAGGATTGCTTGTAGCTATAGAAATGCACACTACATCATCCATAACGACAGCTACGTCCATAGGAGAGGCACTTATTACCTCCCGAATGATATAGATTCAAGATCCTGTACATGACATGGGGTAGGTATATAGCGATTTCAAAAGGTACATGGCGCATTGCGGCGCTTCAGCCTCGAATCAAGGAGGGGCATTGCGCGTTGCGCGCGCGCGAACCTGCCTATGCTGTCTATCGATCAACAGCAGACGGCACTAGGCGTATCAAGCAACGAATCAGTGAGCCGATCATAGCGCACAATTACTCTCCGTCTCAACTCACAAATATCACGCCACTCTCGGTACAATCCTGGGCTACGATGTCGAATCACATTCCATCGGTATCTAGGCAACTGCTGAGTACGCATACAATGTCAGATGCATGCACTCACTGTCTTGAGAAGCTCCTCAATCTCACAACGCAGGGCCTCGCGAGTCGCATGCAGGACTCGGGCAGCAACTACCCCGCCATCACATATACAGCATTGTGACGCCATCCTCATACAACGAGACATGGGATCGTTGAGAGCATCGTCAATGCGCGGACGACGCTCACTTTGCAACGAAGCGACGACATTGGAGACGTATTCCCACCACCAGGAGTACACTCGCCACTCAGAGGCACGGGTGGCGTTGGGTTGGCGAAACCAGACAATCGCCAGAGTGCATGTGCATGCCGACTCAGCTTCATGAAGTAGCAAGGCTTCTACTTGACTTGGAGCTATCCAAGTGACAGGGCGGTCAAAGGAGTTGAGTTGCAGGACATGCTCTAGTTGTGTACTGGCGGAGACCCGGTACCGATACAACACGATGAGAGTGGCCGCCGAGACCTCGCCGAGCCCAACAACGTCGTCTGAGCATGTGATGGATTTAAAGATGTCCGGAACGTCGAGTGACTGTCGCGCGGCCGCGCGCGCGGCGTTGTGGTAGCCAAATTTCCATGAGACAGCAAAGGCGATCACCGGGGATACGCAGCAGTAACGGGCCAGCGCTTGTTCCACCTCGGTATGGAGGAAGGTAATATCGTATCGCCGCGCAAGGACCGCGGCGCGTTTGATGTCCGCTATAGTCAGGAGTTCGGGTACCTCGCAAACAGTGCGTGGATAGCCGAATGCTAAAAGAAGGCGGAGCGAGTGGGAATCTTCCATCATCTCGATGACAGGACGGAGGAATGGTAGCTGCTGGGCGGGCCGGGGTATATCCTTGAAGAGTGGGGAGATAAGCTTTAGGAGAATAGCATGCGCGGCGAAGTCGACGCCGTCACATGAGCGTAGGATGACATCGGCGTCCGGAAAGTTGAAGAGACAATCCGCGGCTAAAGGGCGTTCCAAGGACTGTTGAACGCCCATTGCGATTACCATTGACGATGCGATCCTCAAGAGACAGGATAGACTCAGCTTATGTATGTCTGGTAAATCGGATGAGCAACTGGGGGGTGAGCGCGGAGAACAGCGAACGAAGTAGTTCGTCAAGACGGAACCCTCCGACTGACGCAGAATGAGAGGGTTGTTGGCCGGGTGACGCCGCGGTGGCTACAGTAAGGGGCTGCAGCAGTCGCTTGTCACTAGACAATCAATCTAGCTTGGCTTGGATCGTTGCCGCAGCTATCGCCGTGCATATCAAGTATCGGAATGTGAGCATCACTTCGCCTACAGAAGTGCGAGCGGCATGGTAGGAATGGTCAACCGGCGCTGTGGCGGATGGGAGAGTGCATCCTCCACAATCACGGCTGCATCAATAGAAGCGGATCTTGTCCCGCTTGTCCCGGGGATCTCCGAGTGAAACGGCAGACCTTCCCTCCCGTACATTCGACGGTTGCGTTGTGCCTCGACGATCCGTGTTTATGCACGGCCAATGGCGCCTCTACTCACAACTTTCCACCATGTATAACCTGGCGTGCGATCGCATCGGTGTGGACCTGGATCTCTCGCTCCCCGATTCAGATGGACGTCACTGGAAAGTGTGTCCTCCCTGTCTGCCAATGGACCGCTTGGGCAAGTGGTGCGCTCCCTCAACCTTCGGAACCAACATTTCTAGTTCTCGACAAGGATCGCGACTCCCGACGGATAATAGTCGCACTGCGCCACATAAGAGGCCCTCCCTCGTCTACCACACTGAGTCCCTTCTTGATTCTGCCGCTATCATCGCGGCCTATATTCCTGCTGCGATACACTCATGAAGCAATGGATGAATCTTCTGGATGCCCCACTATTCACATCAGGCTGGATCGTAGAGCTGAACTGGACGGGGGGCCTGAATACCGACGTACGTTGGTGATTGCTAGAACTCGAGAGGCGATTGACTGTGTCCGTAGCGGTTCAGGTCATCACCCTCACATTCTGTGCGACGGAATCCTCCTGGGACTCCCAAGCTTATGCGGAGGTCATCCTTGCACTGAAGAACTCCTGCAAGGAGAGGGAGAGAGTCAGGTATCCGTGGGCAAAAGGCGCTAGGTACTCCACCACTTACGTTGATTGCCATTAGGTCTCTACTACCCACCCAGCTTGAAGGGCGATGCACACACCAAGTTAGTTGTTCTTGTATCAGTCCATCCGCGGACCCACCGGACCCGGAGCCGTATGATTCAGCATCATGTTTGTATCCAAACGCCCTCACAATCCCATATCAGCTCCGGAAAGAGGCGCAAGACGCGCCACGGTGCGAAGGATCCACGACAGAGCGACGCGGGCTCTACTCATCCAGCAGGGACCGCAAAAAAGCCTACACATGACCATACTGGAAAGAACGTGTGCGTCCTCTCTCGTCTTTGTGCACTGCCACTAAACGGTATGCCTTCCAAGAGATCCCGAGGCTATTGTGTTCCGTTCGCAGGCTTGTGTCGTCAAGCGATCCGATATGAACTTGCTTCAGCCAGGGAAGTGGCTCAACGATGAACTGGTCAACTTTGGGATGGAGTTAGTCGGCTATCAGTTCGTCATGGCGTTTGTTAACTCTCCCTCGCAGATACTTGGTAGATAAATCGGGGTGCTCCTCGTCTGTACTCTGCCTCTCAAGCATGTTCTCCACATTGCTGCTGAATAGGTGGGTCTTATGAGTGACATGTGACTCAACCCTGCTCAAAACTGAACAGGCGATCCGCCGTCTCAAGTGACCCGGTCTGGAAAGGTTTCTGGTCGCGCTGGAAACCATCGGAGCAACCTCTCCTACTAATACCAGTCAACAATGCATCAGGGTGAGATCGTGCCGTTTAGCCTTCTGTCCGCAAGCTGAGACTTTGAACGTCAGATGTCATTGGTTCCTTTTGTTCATGGCGCTTTTATGGGACGAAACTGAACCTACTGGTATCTCCGTCGTCTGGCTCAACTCTTGTCGCGATAAACCACACTTGACTGCGGTGACCAAGGAGATATCTATCGCACTCGGTCACTTCGTCCTTGGCAAAGCACGGGCGCAACACGGCTTTGTTGACGCGGATGCTGAGTCATTGGGAAGACGTATCTCGCTACGGGAGGCAACGGTGCTCTTCATTCATTCTCGCGGCGCATAAGCACCACTGAGTGGATAGTGTTAGGTACCCGTTCAAAAAAACGGGTGTGACTGCGGTGTTCACGTTTTGATCAACGCCCATACGATACTACGGGACCCTGCGAAAGCATATGAGGCCAGTATTCCTCTTCGTATCTTGCAATTAATATCTGACTTGGTTTAGCTCGCAACCAGCAGAGACCACTGGGGAGCCGTCGACTGTGATAGCACCCGCTCGGAACTTAGATATGTACTCGAACGGCACGTCAAGGACACCAACTAGCGGGTTGACTAGAACATCAAACCTATCGGCATTGTCTGTATTGTCTGTATTAGCTTGATGTTCGCGTATCACGAGATGATAATGGACGGGTACTGTAAGACACTCTTCGTTCGTGAGTGTGGCCTATGCGCGGCAAGGCCGGGACACGTCCAGGGCCCCTTCTGGGAATAAGTCTACGGAGGAGCTCATCGAGACGGCTTGATGGCCAGCGGTTTTTTCCCTGTTTGCCTGTCAGCCGTTCCTTACTGTTATAGCAACGATGATTCTGTGTTGCGTATGCGTTCAAGCTGACAAGTGCTGCATTTGATATGAAAAGCGCTGTAGCTTCTTGATAATCGTGAGCATTCACTTGGTCTACAAGTCCTATGATACACTCTAGCCATCCGCTCGCGAGCACAACGTGCATTGGCAAAGACTGCGAGTCGGGGCGACCCTGGGACCGCAGAAGATCAAGGACCGCGTGGAAGCATGACACGTGACGACTAGGCGGGCGTTGGCGGCTGAATCATGTTCTCAACTCTTTCTCCCAGCAGCCTCGTCCACCACATACCGCCCCATCCCGTGGGATCTATGTAGAGACCTCCAAGGGAAGTTGCTGTACTATCGTTGTGGGACGTGGACATTTTCCAGTACCTTCGTGGCTATGCCAATTCTTCATCGCTTGCGCTGTCTGACTATGATATGCTCTTGTATTCACCCGCGACGTGGATAGAGCCAATGTTCGTCTACAGGATCCCTCTACGAGGTCATCCAAGGCAAAACATCTCCTTCGAACTTCTCCTTTCCGGCGTGGCTTCCCCCGGCAACGCGCGGGATGTTGCGTTCCCGTTACGAGGACTGGTAAGAGCGGCATTCTCCTTGGCCCTTCTCTAGCGAAGATGCGGGATGTTGCGGTGCTATGATCACCTTCACTCGGAAATTGCCGCTCCCCCTGTGAATGAAGATTTCGTGACTAAGGTAGAGCACTTGGGACGCAGTTCATAAACTGGGGAGTGTCGGACCGCATTTCTTCGTCGAGGCATTCGGGCATCCGTCTCAGGACATCTCTGATGCTGCTCCCGCTCATTCACATTCACTATGAGATCAACCTAGAGGTTGCACTGGTTCAGGGTGGCAGCGATATTCCGGATATCCGCGTGGATCAAGATACGCTGGCTTCTTTTGTTGCAACACCCGCCACAGCGGCTACATCCCTGCGCGATTCTTATCGTGGACGGACACGGTTTGGAACCAACGTGGGGTTGGAAACTCGCACTCGCGCTCTCCTCCATCGACTCGGCTTTCCACAGGCCTTTGTCCCTTCCCATGCGGATTGCTCACGGCTTCTCCGGGTGATTGAGGAGTGTGACGTCATCGCATTTCTCACGGAAGTACTTTCGGCGAAAGACTTCCTAAATGAAAATTCAGTGAGCTTCATGTTTTGCATGTACGGCACGGCGATTCGCTCAAAGGAGCTCTCATCAACTTAGACATTTGTCATCGACATCCTCAACACTATGTATCGCGTCTTCCTCGTTGCTCAAAATCTGCCATCCCCGATTGACGCTCGGTTCACGGCTCTATCGTCCGCTTTTTGTGACAGCATCGAGCACTCTCATTCGTGGTTCGAAGCGGATCGTGCAGCTTTAGCTGGTTCGCCACTCAACCGGATCCACCTTGCCATCCGCAAGTCTCTTTTGCCCAACATACTCGTGTTGATATCTGAGTTCGGACATTTCGTGTTTCTACTGGTCGACATCAGCTAACATCTACTGTAGAGGCCATTTCCTCGAGACGCCCGGTCTACGCCGACTCTGCCTGCTATATTGGATCACAAACTCGGACATCGATGTCATCGAGCATATGACGCCTGTCGCGTCCCACGTCATGCTACAGTATGCACTGACTGGGCGCAAAACGCTCTATAAGAGCGTGCGTGAACTGCATCACGTATTCCGTTCATCGATCAACCAATACATCCTTCCAACGTACGGAGCCGAACGCTACTTGCACCAGATGGCAAAGATGTTGCGAAACAAAGGCTGCGGGACTGATAACAATCTGGACTTCATTCTCCCCATCATCGTCACGTCGATCATCAGTCACCCGGCGCTGCTCGCGAGTGCTGCATTGCCCGATGTACTCAAGGCCATGCTGGAAATTGCGGCTCAACCGCTTGTGAAGGCCACACATTGTCTGGAACGACGCGCCGTATTCGAGTTCCTTCGCTTATGCATGTGAGCGACGTGCAATGGACGGTGGATATCGGGCTGACGCTACCTTAGGCACCTCTTGCGAGTGAGGCACAGCAACCCTGAAGTCCGACCCTCCGTAGCCTTTGTCACCAATGACGGGCAGATCTTTGAAGCTCTGTCGCGTGCACTCTGTATCTTCGCAACGGAGCCGTGTGTCAAGGATTCGGAGGCGGGACCGCGTCTGGAGGGTTACGGTTCGTCACTATTGCAGTTTCACATGTTAGCTACTGACTCCGGTCTAGACGTATGTCTAGAGTACTTGACCACCCTCGGTGGGTGGGCTTTGGCATTGAATACCCAGAAGAGAAGTGGTTCGCGCAAGGGTATGAGGGGGGCAATGCGGAGACGCTGGTATCCGACCCTGCAAGTCCTACGCAATACACGGTTTCTGTCAAGATGCGTGAACAAACATGACCACCTGATCAACTCCTGGGGTAGACTTGGGGACGTACTTGGGCTCCACGAAGACAATGCCAAGGCGAGCCAAGCCCAGAAGACCAGGTTCTGTGCGTGGACGGGCTGTCACAACCATTACGTGGCATCTGAACAGGATCTGAAGACCTGTAAGGGATGCGGTGAAGTGGTGTGTCTCCCCATCTTGGAACCTGTCCTAGATATCTGACTGTCTCCATAGAGATACTGTGGCCGCGCCTGCCAGCGCCTAGATTGGGACAGCGGTCATCAACGAAAATGTAAACGGCTCGGCTGGTCAGGGTAGAGGATCAACGTAGCTGGCCTCTTAGAATAAGATTCTCATGTGATATGTATACGGCTCTATGCGCCACTTGTCTATCGTCCACGCTCACGCAACGAAAGACTCTATTTGCTTTAGGGTCCGGCGCAGACAGCGGACAGGGCCAGGGGTTCAAGGTAACATACTGTATCATAGGGTCTTCGGCGCCAGATCACCGGTTGGTTATACTCGCCCAGGTGAGCTCTGAGTTACGAGTTGTATGATGATACTAGCGCTGCCGCATATAAAATGGCATCTCATTGAGAATGGCGACCCGCGAAAACAGACATGGTGGGCGGGAGCAAGCCGCGAGACGCGTCGACGTACGTGCCTTCCACTTTGGCTTCCAGAGTCGGTCGCACGCTTAATGCTGGTTTCAACCGTACAGATGAACGTGAGGGACAAGTCAAGAAGTATAATGGTGTGACATTCCTCGACCAAGTCACTACTCAGTTCGTGGCCTTGAAAGTCATCTGGCGTCGCCAGCTCACGATGGGACTACAACGACAGTAGATGCCTTGAGAATTTTGTGCTATAAATCGTGCTGTACCACGCGAGACGCTCCTTTACTTTGCGCGTGTATCGCTACCAAAATACCCTCCGCGCGCGGAGAGACATGAGGTGCGTCGCGCTATCGGCACACGCGCGGGGCCGTGCGTCAACCGAACCCGCCGCGTCAAGTCCTCCGTCCGTTGGCGCATCAGCCCTCCTTCCCACCGTCGCGATCACCAATAAAGCCTACGAAGAAGGCTACCAATCGTTCGTCCATTTGTCGGCTCGATGATGGAATCTCGTTACGTAGTATAGCACGCGCGATACCTGAAGGACGAGCGATACGGGCGACTCGGAGCCACAGGGCATTGACAAGGAGACCGCAGGCCGGCGCGGCATCATCAATCGATATTCAATAAGTCGTTCATCCCGACGCTGCCATAGCAGCTTGTAACCAAGGGCGCGAACGCTTTCAGGAGCATACCCGGACTTGCGGACTTGCAAGGCAAGATAATCCCTCGCTCAACAAGGCGTGAGAGTTCGGAACGCAGACTCCGAGTCTCCGCCTCGTGCTGTAACCCGAGGGTTTCCGTCGACCATCACTGCAGCTGCCGTACTTCACTGCTAACTCGGTTGGAAGCAAGAGCCTACCAGCTGTGACGGCATACTCTTGGGAAGCGCCGACAGAGCTGGTGTATAGTCTACACAGCGTACATGCGCCTTCGTGGTGGGTTGTATCGCGTGTCGCCATCATTAGCGATCAGCGATATTGATGATCCCACGCAACTGTCCTACGCGCATCTCACCCCGACCGCCACCCTTGCTTTCGTCATGCAGTAGGCATCCGGCCTTTGCCCATACCCGACGTACCAGTCTTGCATCGCGTCGGTGCGGGATCGCTACGGGGTATACAGGGTTCGCGTTCCTGGTCGATGATTAGCGACACGGCCCGACATCCAGGCCGTTCGGCATACTCCGTGTTAAGCGGGAGCTACGCCGCTTCTCCGTCGTTTCTGAATCGCTGGTGACCATGATCTGCAGTGGGTTAATGCCTTCTGGCGGGCCACGTTTTACTTTGCTTTGAACTATGCCTCACGTGTCATGATGCTTTGCTCTACGGTCAGCCTACAGCTGCGCGATAGTAGGCCACGTTTTTCCTTGCTTTGTTTTCGGTCGCATGCGCTATGATGCGTCGAATTACGGTCAACCAGCTACGTGTATAAGAGCGGGGACGCTCTCGACGCTTCGAGTTCCATACGAATCTGCTCATCATGTCTGACGACAACTCTTCTCGTAGAAGCCAGACAAGCCAGACGCTCAAAAACCTCGACTGCCATCTGCCTCACCGCCCTGACCTCCCGGATTCTCAGTCAGCAGATGCTCGCAAAGTGCCGGCCGTGCCCGCCTTGGCTGGTGAGTCTCCTGCGCGGAAAGCATGAAGAGCCTGGCTGACCGCAAGGACGTGTATAGGCGTCGGCAAACAGGTCAACGATAGTGATGATGGAGATTCCTTTTCTAAGACCTCGAATCTGTCTCAGGGCGAGCGAACCCGTCCGCCCACAGCCGAAGAACTCTATTTGCGTCGGCGCCAGAGACTGGTCCTACCCTCCGGCGTAGAAGCCCTCCACTTCAATGCACGCACGGCATCATACACCGGGAAGACGGCCTACTACGCGGTTGAGCAAAGCGTCGTCTCCATCCATTGTACCGACAGCCGCCCGCCGCGGCGTCCCCGCAAGACCCAGGGCCGCGAGGAAGTTTTGCCGCTGGATGATGAGAAGAACCTTCAGTGGCGCAAGAGCGTCGGCCAGTTCATTGGCGGCGCTTTTCTCAGCCAGATAGACCATAGTGAGCCCACTCGCGCCAATCCAACACTGTTCTCTGACTCTGAATCGAAAAGTACCCATTGCACGCAGATTGTGGACCCTCGGCTCATTTCCGGCGGGCTACGTGCTTACGCGCCGCATTACGCGCTCCACTACTGCGCGCGGCGCAGGGAAGGAATGTGTACACATCTGGTTGACTGGTACGTCCGTCAACGTACTCCGTCGACCCCTGACCACTGACATAGATTCTGAACAGGCGGGGGGTTTCGGTTTGGATCGCCCGCGGAGTTCGCGGCGCATGCCATATGGCTAATGCGCGGCGCTCCTGCGGGCGAATGCGCGTGCAAGCAATGCACACACGCTTGTCAGAAGGACATTACTGTCATTCTGGAAGAACCTTTCCGACCGCCTCGCAAGTCTGCAGCGTCTATGAACTGGCCGCCGCCAGAGGATAGAGTGGCTAAGCGCAAGTTTGGCTCTGTTGGAGACATAGGCGAGGTTGTCGCGGACTCAGTTGACCGCCAGGTTAAACGCAGGCACAGCCTGTAATTAGTTGACCGAGATTGCTGTATCCCTATGCAACTATACTGCCTCAATGTACGCGGCTCGTAGCTTGGTATTGTCGAGCTTTGTAACTCTTTCGGCTATAATGACAGTCCTACGTCTCTTTTTCTCGCCATACTCCTCCAGTATGGCAGAAGTTTGTTGTTCTGCATGCACGTCTAAATCCCGGTGACAATGACCATTCCGCCTGAAGCAGGTAAGAACTGCTTCGAAGGTCGATCGAGTGTTAACGGATGCGCGTTTGAAATGCAATGCAGAGCTGAACGGTTGCGTATATGAGTCCTGGTTCCTTCTCCTGTGAGACAGCGCCATTGAGTACGTCGAGTGTGTATGTTCCTCCACTCATAGTGGTACCAGCTGGTCGCACCCCTTGTCGACTGGTTGACATGATCACAAATGCAACTCACGTGATCGCGAAGGCTCCCAGACGCGTCGCGAATCGGCGACTCCACGTCTTTCCTTCCATCGTCGTTTAGTCAAGCTCCGACAGATCTCTCTGTGCATCACTGGACGCTATCGTATGCTCTTCTCTTGTTTGAGCCGAATCATGCCGTCGTCGTCATCAGCACAACGAGCCTCATACTGTCTTATCTCGATCGTGACCCTGCAGCTACAACAACCCCAGACTTCCGCCACATTGACGGCGGCTTCTCTGGACTCCTTCATACACGGACTAGGCAAGCTACTAGAGCATGCATAAGATAGGGAGCGATTTGCCAACTGGATCTCCCAAGCTCCATCGTCATTACCATGCTGTCGACTTTCCAAGCGATTGACACGCGCACGTCTAGGGATCTTTACAACTTCGTCACATGCGGGAAGGCAATCCCCAGTTTATCGACATGCATGAAATATCATCCTGTTACCTCCGTGCGTCTCTTATCTATAGATTCGTCTCACGCTCATTGCTGATACTTCGTCCAGTGCTAGATAGTCGCCCATCTGCTCCCCAGAGAAATACGCGAGGCCCAACATCGGATCTGCCTCGTTATTCAACCTTCTAGAGCTTGTATGTATCCCTTCCACCGGAATGAATATTTCAGAGAGATTTGGTACTAATCTGGCTGCTAGGAGGAGTTGGACACTGCATCTTGACTATCACGAATCACCTGGAAACACTCCTCACGGTTCTCCGCTGAACGTGGCACGGAGGAACCCACTGAAGCGCCCATTCTGAACCAGTACAGGTACATCCCTAGTGCTTCCCCTGTTATCCTTAGGCTCAGCGAAGTTGACAATTCTTCTGCGAACAGTACCAGGATCTGACAGCCTTCTTCTCGCCCTTTAGGCCATCTACTCGCACAGTTCCTCAACATCCACCAAAAGCTCACTTCATCTCGTTGCTCGCCTGTGCGTCTCAAGCTCGTCAAGGGGTGTCAGGGAGAACGAGAACTCGACAACATAGCCGGGTGCATGCCGGAGGGTCTCTACTATTGACGCGAATGTTCTGCCGAGCGTCTTCAATCAAGGGCGACCGGTGTGCCATTGTCTCATATAACTAGCTTGATACACGTATTAACTACTACTCGCGTAACTCGCATCATCATCGTGTTCACTCTAAGAGCCTCGGTTCTTGAATAGGTCAGGATCGAAGGTAAGGACGACGGAGACCATCTCCCGATGATGTTGTATTACCTCATCAGATCACGCCAGATACACGGCCTGTGCTCCCTGGGAGAGTACGGCGCTGAGTCTAGTTGTACTATGCCGTTTTTGCCGGCAACGGTTGCGGCGCGAGAAGCAAGCTGGTCGGGGAGGCTACGATGCGGACTCAGTGGGAGAACCCGTGCTTCTGGTATCGAGCGTTCCGTCTGGGTCTACACTCCCGACGAACTCGCACATACCTTGGGACTATATGTCTGTAGATCGCGGGGAAAGTGTGAGTGCATCGGTCTAGAGTCCGTACTCCGGAGAGGGCAATGACGACCACTGGACCAGCCCAGGACGCGGCTTGCCAAGGCTTTAGGCACCTGACCGAGTACCATCCTTCAGAAGCCATCTATACTCGAACGGCCTAACAGTGCGCAGTCCCTACGGGTGGCAGTGTCCCTGGTGCATTGCACTAGTACTGGCGAAAGTATGGGGGAGTGCAGCACGCGCCATGGTCGCATTACAACGGTCCTGCGGCCTGCTGAGGTCCTCTAAACCCTGATGAGTAACTTACAGCATCGCTACGTAATCATGATTCCGCGCAGCATCAAAGCCTGCACTCCCTTGACGACTCTTCTTGACCTGACCCTCCACGACCGACCACCTGGACGTATACACGGTCAGGAGGGAACAAATGCGCGGGTTCAAAATCGCCGTTCTTGGAGGTGCGCTGGCCTGTGACGTGTAGAATTCCGTTCTGACGCGGTTCTGACAAGCGTAGCTGGTGGTGCCGGGAAGTCTGCCCTCGCAGTACGGTTCATGCATGGTGTCTTCGTAGAGGATTTTGACCCGACGATTGAAGGTACGGATCTCGCATCTTCATGTGGGGTTTGCAGTGAACAGCCATGATAGATACATATCGGAAGCCGGTCACCATCGACGGCGAGACCTCTATGGTGCGCATCCTCCCGCACTCTAATTCTACCCCATTTCATTGAATCAAGCCTCATGGCATGATAATTATAGGTCGAGGTCTTGGATACAGCAGGCTTCGGACAGTTTCGGGCGCTCGCGAACTCTCACGTGTCCGTTCGTACCGTGATTTATGGGTGCTACCTGTCGGGATCTCATGAGTACCGTTTCCAGGACTCACATGGGTTCATTGTTGCCTTCAGGTGTGTTGTACTTGACAGATATGATTCTGCTTGGGCTGATTGCGGTTTAGCCTAGCTGACGCCTCGTCCTTGCAATGTGCCGAAGCTTTGCTCCATGACATTCGTCACAAGAGACAGGACCATTCAGTCAGTTCTATATTGGATTGATGTACGAACAATTTAGACTGAACGTCACGTCCAGAAGGATGTCCCATTGGTGCTCGTGGGCACGAAGTTGGACCTGGGAGAGCAACGCGTCATACAGGACCAAACGCTCGCCGGGATGGCCGCTCGTTGGGACATCCCCATATACCAAACTTCATCTCTATGCAGTGTGCGCGTGGATGATCCATTCGTGGATCTGATTCGACTCATGCGTCAAGAGATTGCTCCGATTGCCACCCACATACACCGAGCTGCGTGCGTCATATTGTAGTCTTTGTGTCACCCATTGTCCATCCCTGCATTCGCTCTTACATTGCTTTACTGCTTTTCTCCAGTTCTTCCATCGCTACTGATAATCTCCCTACGCCTGCTCTATCACTCGTAATTGTCAAGTGTCGCACGAAATCTTCACATCCACACTCATTGTTCTGGATCTTGCTTTGCCCTCGTTATCGCGTAGCTTCATGGCTTACCTTGTTTCACTCTCGACTAAATCTACCCCTCCGTATCCTGGCTACAGACTTGTATTTCTTTCTAATGGGACAAGATCGCGCACCTAGAGCTCTGGCTGGCTGACAGAGATGGTCTATCGTCGAGGGAAAACTGACTTGCGCGCGTGATGGTTTGTCTGTGGTTCGTTTCGCCGCCTCCAGGTTCAACGCGACATCACGTTCGCCGGGGCTCTCAGACCAGTTAGAGATGGCCATAGCTCAAGATGCGCTTGCGTGTTGGTGAACCAGAATGTATACTTCCTGAACTCATACGTTCTGTAGGTCGGCGTCTGTAGGGTATTATATTAGCGCCCAGGCAAGCGAAGCTCGCTGACAGGGACGGGAGAGCGTGAACACAATGAGCGGTGCGGGCCGTCGCGCACCTGTGTGCGCCACCCTATCAGGGTTACTTCAGCCTCATGAATCGTTTTCGTGCGCGAGCTGCGCCTAGTGCGCGGTGTTGAGCTTCTTGATCATACACGAACGGTTCTCGATTCTCTCGACAGTGCGAGAGTACATGAGTAACGAGGCTGTTGTAAGTACGACATGTGTAGAGCCCAGTAATATACGTGGTTAGAACTGCAGGAGGAACTGGATAGAGTCAAATATAGCGCCCTGGAACGACATTTTATCGAACCTGCGCTATCGAAAACTCAACACGTGTGGCGCCCAAGTGTGCTGGTCTAGCAGTAGCGATTTTGGTCCTACTGGATCCAACGCATGGGGTATTGCGGCCACGTCGTCATGTGGACTGATCAAGTCAGCGTACGTGGCCTTCGGCAAGAGGATCAAGAGGATGCGTAATTTGAGACGTATCAACTACAACGGGACTTAAGATGCAGATCCGAGATAGTGAGGGTGTCAAAGACTGCGACTACGTTTCACTTCGCAAGATCCTGTGCCCGTCTTCCCGATATCCCCACCTGAGACTCGCTTCCGTTTCAGGCACTTAGTCGCCCGAGAGCGCTCTAGGTAGCCGCCATACGATTTAGCGGTATGAGCGCTCGTTAGCGCTTGCTCCAGGACGTCGGTAATAACGGACTGCGCATATGCGCCCGAGCACTGAACGCACGTGCAACCATCTGTGCCACCACGCATGAGCCAAATGGCGTGCGCTGCGAATTCTGCGGGCGACGCAAACCGACGCAAAGCACCTGAAAGTTGTCCCGTAACAGTGAGCGGCGATGAGTAAGACCTGGAAGGGGGCAGCACATACCGTATAGATACACATCCGTACGGCCCTTCTTCATTCCATCAGCGCCTTGGGTGCATGTCCTGCGACGAACTAGAACGAAGTCGGACGGGAACGAGTCCAGAACCCAAGGGTTATTACTCCGCGCATGAGGGCCTGAGAGTCGAGTCAGATGGTACGCGCGTACAGGTGCACAAAAACTGACCATTTTCGACTAGATGGAAGGCCCCTTTAATGAGCAGGCCGATCCTGCGACGCCAAGAGATGTTTGCTGAGTCGTCCAGCGGGAGAACCTCATAAGTACCATCATTGGGAGGGCGGCACTGAGGTAAGGGGCAGGCGTCAGAGAGGTTGATGGTAATCGCATTCCCCTTGACCATATAGTACGCGGTCCTCCCGCTGTATGACATGGATTGGTCGAGAGATAGATTGTAGACGCCAGACGGAATCGAGAGCTTGGAATGCAGCTCAGAGAGGAAGACCTGCGGCGAAGGAGGTGGCCCAAACAACAAGGAGGGCGATTCTAAGTCGGTGGTTGTACTATCAATGTCGTCCTTCCAGTTGAGGAATTCCCAGTCTATGAAGGTCATCTTAGTTTATTACCCTCTACGCAGGCAAGAAGCTCACCACCGAGTCCCTGCGAAGGATATGTTGGACCTTGACCCTCTAGCGGGAAGAGCAACGGGGGAAGCTGGAAACCGGGAGCACCGTCATCGAAGTGCGAGGGTAGCCGAGGGGACTCAAGGAAGAGCGATGTGTCATTTGACGGGCGCACTAGGTCCAGAGGAAGTAGAAGCGGAGGGAGTTCGAGATTGGGAATATTGTCAGGTTGTGACTCTGTGGGTGGGCGACTCTCGACCGGTGTAGGGACAGAGACGGGTTGTACGAGACTGGTAGGGACGACGGCATCCATAGCGGGCAAGTTCTGGAGGATCTAGAGAGCAACGCTCAGGGTAATTTATACTTCGTGGCCATACATCTGCCGTACCTATAGATCCGCCGTAGATCATGGCATGTTGGAGGCTTGCGACGTAGGACAAAGAACACCAGGCTGCGTGGTGTACCTCAAGGCGCGCGTTTGTCTCGTGAACTACTTCTTACGACGCTAGAGTTGACTGCGGGCGGTGAACTAGCGAATGGTGAACAGAAGAAACTACTTCCGCCTTGAGCGGAGAATGCCGAGCCATCTACACTGATGATCGCGTCAGCGACGGTCGCTCATACTTCCAATACGGGGCGTCAGTCTACCACACAGGTGCATGCGAGTGATCTACCTGTTTGGTTATGAGATAGGATGGGCGATGCACTGTCTCGCCGTAGACGACGAGTAGCGGTCGTGATGAGCCACAGGCGATCGCGAAGATGCCCACGACCGAGGTGACGGCGCCTCGGTGCCAGCGGCCTCCAATACCGAGGATGACTGGGCCGCTCTCCTTTGTTCTGGCAGTCGGCGAGCTCCGTGCCCCACGTACGAGCAGTCCCATGAGAGATTATCAACACGCACACATATCGATTTTCCCAGAAGTTCAGCTTCGCAAGGATACCATGACGCGCAAACATGCGCCGGCAGTCTTGTGCATTCTTAGTCGTGCCAGCAAGCAGGATCAAATGGCAGGGAGCGTGCGCCTAGGGGAGTAAAGCAGATCGATGATAGATGCCGCATGCGTGCAAGGCGCGACGCGCTGAGCGCACTCATCCATTCGCTCCCGTCTGCTCACGCTCACGGGGTCTCGGTGCTGCCAGCCGCATCAGCAGCGTCGCTCGAGTGTGAGAAGACGAGAAGATGAGAGCGTTGCGCAACGCAAGGGTTAGAGCGACGCGTCGCAAGAAGGACGTCTCCTGCCTCCGACCACCACCATCTTATCGTGGCGCGCACCCCAATTTCCATCCCTCTATCCACCGCATCCCCTCTCTTCTCGCGCCCATCTCTTTCCCCCATATTGGCGGCGGCATACATACTCGGCTATGCAATCGCGTCAAGTCAGCCAAGAGCAAGCAAGGCTGCGTAGAGCATGTCACGGCCAGCGAATCGAATTTCATGAAGCGCAGCGCTGTCGAGGTTGATGCGAAGCGCCAAGGGAATCCCCGTGCTTTTATCAAGTTGTGCAAGCAGCCTGCGCCGTCGAACGGAGCTCAGCCATCAGCTGTGCACGGTTACCATTCGATCCATGGCACCGAAGTGTTCATCGAATATCCTACCCACCTCCAGATTGCGCTTGCCAATATGCTTGCTGGCGATACCCCACCTCCACTGCTTCTCGCTGGTCACATCTCGCCGGCTTTGCCGGTGTATGTACGCACCGTATAACTCTGGTCCATACCACTCGCATCAACGCGCAAACCAAACACATGGTCGATCCTTTCATGCTACTGGATTCTCGGATCGCTAGTGTGTTTATCGACGCTCGGGCCGTACGTGCACCTACCATCTACTCCTTGAGCGTTCACACGACTGAAACTGATCTAGAAGCATAGACCGCGTTGAAACTGGTGTTCAATCATGTAACCACGTACGTGTATGCCTACTTCTTACTGCGCGGATTGCACAAGATCTGACCGGACGCATAGCCAGCAGTGCTCAAGTTCGGCTCCTACATTGAAACCCTCTATTATCCGATATTACCTACCAACTTCGTTCTGCCCGCTGTCGTTCTACTCGCTATTTGTTCTCGCGATTATTTGGCCCGCCTACTATACTACATCCATTGCACGCGTACGGTCTCGATGATGTATTCGTTCGTGTACTTACATACAACTGCATAATGATCATTACCTCGTCGAATTACTCGAAGCCCCGCATTCCCTTTCTGCGGCCGCTAGCGTTGCAAAGTGGCGCGGAATAGGTTTTTATGATGGTTTCTGCGCGGGACCCTGAGTGGCAGCGCCCAGGAGGGTGGGACATCTACGGATTGGTTGACGAAACTCGAGAACGACAACAGGTATAATAGCGAGGAGAAGTGGCTTCGCTGCGACAAGCAAAATGCGTATAGTTGGGTTGCGGGGTGCATGCACGAGAGTCCGACACCTGGCGGGAAATAGAGTCTAAGGCGTCCTTGGCACCCGAGAGGCTCAAAGAGAGAAGGCAAGGAGCCGTGGGCAAGCATATGCATGTTCTACAGGACCTTACAAGACTACTCTGGCTGTTCGTTTCATAATGTAGAACGCAGCAAAGCGCTCTTAGAGCGGTGTTTTTAACCACAGCAAATCTACATCTTGTAGTGCGCACCTCTTTTGGTGTCTTGTCATTGTAGATTGTGCTGCATTGTGTAGCTCGTAATTGTGGATTGTGCTACATCTTGTGGCCTGTCATTGTAGATTGGGCTTCATCTTGTAGCCCATCAATGTAGATTGTACTACAATTTGTGGGCCTTGTAATTGTAGTGTGGGTCTTGTTTTGTAGATGTAGATGTAGATCAATCTGGGGTGTGACATCATCCCCTGGGCTGATCGGGGCTGCCCGTGGACCCACGAGCCTGGACCCACACCCACACCCACACCCACACCCACACCCACAATTAATTTAGCCTGACCAGCCATCAATCTAGCCCCTGGCTGGCCTGGCTGCCTCTCCCTACTGTATCCCTTGCCCCTAGTAGCTAGTATAGGTACTGTATTGTGTACTGACAACCTGTACATACCTACAGATGCTATCTATAT